TTTCTACAGGTTAATTCTAGGAAATTTTATATATATATATATATATATATATATATATATATATATATATATATGTATGTGTGTGTGTGTAGAACTTCAGATATAACTAAAAAATATATATGTAAAAAAGAAAATGGAAAACTTAACTTAGCAAACCTTATCTTAGATAAAATAAAGAAATAATATGATGGCTGCTTGGTTGGTTTTGTTTAGCTGCCTATCAACATCCATGGGTTATTTAAATTGCTGAAACCTAAACATTTTTGTACAATTTTATTTTATATTTGGAAATAATAATGTCTTACTAATGAACCCATAGCTGGGGGAGAAGAGGTGTATTCATACCTTTTCCAAGAGTATTTGCGCTTAAGTGAATAGAATGAGCCTGACTGGAATTGGAACTAGGTTCTCTGATGAACAATTCCGAGCCATTATCCATTACAGCAACCGCACATTCAAGCTTATCGCACTTTGTATTCCTAAGCGGTCAACCATCTAGATACTGACCAGGTTTGGTGTTGCTTAACTTTGGTGATCGTACAGTTTTAACGTGATGTGACCGCAAGACCTAGTAAATAGTAGAGGTATATCAATCTACAGTATTTACATTAGTCGGACTATTGTCCTCATCTTTGTCGCCATATTTGTCACAACGTTTCGGCCGTTGTATGCTCCGGCCTTCTTCAGGTGGTTGAGATTTCGAACTGAACCCTTTATTTCGATCACTGGGGTAGACTGTTCTAGTTCCACGTGCCATGTTTGATGGATGTCAGTTATCAGTTATCTCCTGCTAATTTTCCCTCTGGAAGTTCTCCACTGCCTTAACCAGGTATTGAACTCACCTTCTTTGGGTCTGTCACTGGATCTAACCAACGCCTTTATCCACTGTGCCATGTGTCCTTGAGGACACATGGCACAGTGTACATATGGCGTATATCAATCTAATATGTTTCACTTTTATTAAAGCTTCGCCAGTAAAAATAAGAAAGAAAATGTGTGAAGAGATGATGCAAGTGGTATTAAAAGTAAGGAAACTGTAAAAAATTTAAAAAAAATACAATAATGCCTAAAGATTAATTACAGGTCGACTTACGACCAGTTCGATTTACGTATTGTCGGTCGTAACCAATAGTTTACGATGGATTTCTGTCTAGTGCGTTAATGGTTTTCGGAAACACCTTGCTTCATTTCTTTGTATAGTTTGTTTTTCTCTAAGTAGCGCTTGATTAATGTTTTAGATTAGAATTCAATCTAAGCAACCACCCATAAAACTATTTGTAAACGTAGCGATAAGATTATCGCTCATTTAGATAAGGGTTCACTTGTGCCTCTGAACCATCGTTTTTTCTTTAACTATATATTTCTTTTTATCTCTCTTTGTCTTTTTTATATGTATGCGTTTTCGTTTACCCCGCTCTCTCCTTCTGTAAACACACACACACACACACACACACACACACACACACACACACACACATATATATATATATATATATATATATATATATATATATATATATATATATATATATAATTGTTTGCAAGCCCCTCACTTTAGTACCTAGACTTTTTGAATTTAAGCTCAGCACTAGACTGGCGTCGAGATCTCATCAATATATAGTAGAGCTGGCTAGATGTCACCGTAAGTTCTATGCTAACAGTTTCTTCTCTCGCATTTCTCGCTTGTTGAACTCCCTTCTAGCTCCATGCTTACCAGACAACTTTAATCTGCAAAAATTTAAACGCAATATCATTCACTATCTACTGTCATCCTGATTACTTTTTTCCTTATGCCGCTCATCATTCAAGTTTCTCTTCTAATTTTTCCTCATCCTGTAACGCCTTGTGATTTAGTGGAATTACTGCCTTACTTGGAGTTCTTTCGATTATCTATCTATCTATCTATCTATCTATCTATCTATATATATATCTATATATATATATATATATATATATATATATATATATATTCACGGTTTAGATAGATATTAGTAGAAAAATACATCACCAAAACAATAATAATAAGCAAAATTTAAAATCCGAGAAGGCCTGTATATAATAAAATTAAAGCCAAAAATAAATAGTCACCTAAATAAATAGCGTTTAGAATTCGAAGAGAGAAGACGTGTTTTTCAAATCTCTGTTGATTTCAACGGATTTTTTAACAATGTAAAAAGGTCGGATTAACGATAAAAACGAATTTGAACAATGAATGAAATATACTTTATTGAATTAATAGTTGGAAACTGTAAACATTAGTGTAAAAGAGTTGTAATACAAGACAGTATTTTTTCGATTTGATTTCAAGAGATTTCAAGCGGGGATTAAAAAATTAACAGAAAAAAGTTTTACATTAATTTTAGGAAAAAGAAGGGAAACAAAATGTCTCTTCCTTCTTCTTTGCTTGAATCTGATCGTTGCTTTTCTTGTGGCAGCATTAACAAGCGTAAAAGAGTCAGAAGTTGTTCAAATTGTCAACGGTCTATTCATTTGAGTTTTGAGGGCACTCTCACTCCTCAGGCAATTTCGGATGGTTGCCTTTAAAAATCCTTACATCTGTCAGGATCCCAGCAGCCGATGCCTTAACTATTGCAATGGACTATGCACTTTACCTGAACAGTTCACCTGACTGGGGTCACCTTTTCTCTTTTGGAACACTTGTGCTCTGCATTCCTTAAAATAAGGACCCCATATCATCTACCTAATCTATTATGAAAAATAACATTTCTTTATTCAATTCGTCTAAAATAAATACCACCGATTTAATCTTTCTAATACTAATAGATTTCATTCTTCATCTACAGTCGACGATACTAAGAGACTCCGTGCCCTCATCAATGCTAAGTTGATCGAGGGTGATGTCTCAGCTGTAGTTAGATTATTGGCCTCATCCGATACTATAATAGCTACTACACCAGAAATTCTCACAAGTCTGTCGGAAACATCGTGCGCCACCATCAGATGTTAGATTTGTTCAGATGGAAAACAATGATTCATATACTGAAACCTCGAACGTAGCGATGGTTGCCGTACTGAAGTCTTTCTCGGAGAGCAGCAGTGGAGGGTTGGACGGCCTACGACCTGGTCGCATCAAGGACTTAATTTCTTAAGAGCTTAAAAAAAAAGACGGAGGTATCCACCCTACCGCTGTTTGGTAGCATTTTTCGTCGACTCGCGGCAAAAATTGCTTTTAGACTTATTGTGAAGGAGATAGGACATGGATTGCGATCTGTCCAGCTAGGGGTATGCATACAAGGCAGATGTGAAGCCACGGTTCATGCCGCAAGATAGTTGCGAGAATACATCACCTGATTCCTCACGTATCTTATAAAAACTGGATATGAGAAACGCTTTCAATAGCATCAGAAGGGATCACACTGGGAGGACCCGACGAGGCCTGGTGACCTCCAACAAGTAATTATTGCTTTATCTCTTCTTGAACTTGAGATTAACTCGTCGAAGAGATGATAAACTTGAATTATAGTGCAGATAATTTCGAGAGTGCTAGCCAAGATATCAGACTCATCTTTGAGGATATAAAAATAACACCTGAGGAATTACACATTCTTGGTTCTCCAGTCTTTCCAATGGCCATTTGAGAGAGTTTGGATACTAAGCATGTCATTCTAACAAGAATGACTGAGAAATTGCAATTACTTGATGCAAACCAAGTCCTCCTCCTCTTGAAGAACAGATTTTCCTCTACCCAGCTTCGTCTACACTCTCCGAAGTATCCCTTGCTACCTTGAATAGAAAAACTGGGATAAAATGAAATGCATCGGCAATTTTACTAATTTGAGGCTGTCTCTGGATCATTACCGCCCCGCCCGTCTGCTATCTGCTTCACAACGGAGTAGTGTTGCCTGGCTCAACACAGAACCCTCTTCATCTACCGGTACCCTTCTAGATGATGAGTGAATTCGAGTCGGAGTCGTGATCTGTCTTGGATTCAAATTATGTGAGCGTCACAGATGCAGATGTGGAGCTTCCATTGATTGATTCTCTCTCTCTTTCCTTTTTTTTTTCTGTATACAACTTTCCCTCTTTTATTTTCTCTTTATTTCTGTTTCACTCTCTTTTTTCTTCTCTGTCTCTATTTATTGTCTTTGTATTTTCTTTTTCCCTGTCTTCTCTCCGTATTTTTCTCTTTTCTCTTTCTTTCTTTATGTTTAATTTCCTTTCTTTTCTCTTTCTTTTTCTCTCTCGTCTTTTAGCTTTGGTTTTTTTTTTGTTTTTTTTGTCCTCGATTTCTTTCTCTTCTTTTCTTTCTATTCTGTGTTATTTTTCTTTCTTTTTCTCTGTCTTCATATATTCCCCTTCCTTTCTGCATCCATCTTTCACTCTCTTCTTTTTTCTCTTGTTTTACTATATCTTTCTCTTTTCTTCTCTCTTTTTGTTGTCTTCGGATTTCTCCATTTCTGTATCTTTCTTTCTTTTTCCTCTATTTATCCTTCTTTTTCTGTGTTGCTTTTCTCTTCTCCTTTTTTTTTTCTTTAGCTCAAGTCTCTTTGTTTTCGTCTTTGCTTTTCACCATCACTTTCTTTATCTTCTTTTCTATGTTACTTTGCTTTCATTGTCTTTTTATATTTCCCCTCTCTTTTTGCATCCATCTTACATATTCTTCTTTTTTGTTGTCTCTATTTCTTTCTGTTTCATTTTCTCTCTCTCTCTCTCTCTCTCTCTCTCTCTCTCTCTCTCTGTGTTGCTATTGTCTCTGTCGTTCGCTATATTTTTCTCACTTTTTGTTTCTTTTTTTTATCTTCGTATCTTTCTCTCTTAATTTAATTTCCTTTCTATTTTTCTTTCTCTCTTTTCGTTTTCGCAATTCCCCAGCTATTTCTTTCTCTTCTTTTCTCATCTTGTTTTTTTTTCTTTCTTTTTCTTCATTTTCTTATCTTTCTTCCACGCGCCCATTTGCATTTACGTTTCTCTTGCTACATCCATTTCTCTCTCTATCATTTCTAAACCACCTAGTTAGGCATGCTCCTGGCTTTCCGACATATCATAATGAAACACCGGTTCACGTTCGATCACCGAAGTTAAGCAACGTCGAACATAGTCAGTACCTAGATGGGTGACCGCTTGAGAATATCAGCTGCTGTAAGCTTGCGTGTGCTGTAATGGATAATGGCTCAGAATTCTTAATCGGAGAGCTGAGTCCCAATTCCAGTTGGAAATACCTTTAGGAAAAGTATGAATCCATCTCTTCTCTCCCCGGCTATGGGTTAATTAGTAAGATTTGTATCATTACATCATTATTATCTCTAAACAACAAATATTGTTTAAATATTTTGTCGTTAAATAATCTGCAAAGGGTTGATAAACCGTAAAAAACTAATCAAACAAATCAAATTAGACATGCTCTTCTGACATAATAAAGGGTGTTTCAAAAAATTTGATATCATTTCGCAATCTAATAACTTTGTTAGATCTCCTTCAAATGACTTCAAATTTTAATAGCATCTTTATGTTTAATGTTTGTTTATGTTTTTTATGTCTTTATGTTTTTATGTTTTCTTATTTGTATTTTTTATGTTCTTTAATCTTTAATCTTTTTTCTTTACAGGTATAAAATGCCGTGTCTCAGGCGGTGCGCATATTGAACATTTGTGAAATCGTTCACATAATCCACATGCTTTTGAATTTCTCATTCAGATTTGGAAGAATAAATCTTATGATCTTCAACATTAATACTTTTTAATTTCATTTGCCTTAATCATGTACTTTCTGTGATATTTACATCTCAAAGGATATCAATTTTTTGAAACATCCTGTATAACTGGCAAGCACTCATTTCTTCATTTCTGATGTTAATTTTCTATCTTTTGTCTGGAAACTAATTTTCTAAAAAGTCTCTTTCTTCGTTATTGTGTCTTTCACCTACTATTACAGGAATGGTAACTACAATATTATCCCTTTCCTTATAAGGAAACGTTCAGCATTCATTGACCGAGCAGCCAGTACAGCTGTTCGTTGAAATTTATCAAATGTTTCTGTTAAAACAATTTTTCAGCAAAATATGTTTCTCGATTCCAATGTTAGCGTTCATTCCAGTATCGCCATTTGTGAATACCTAACCTTTTCTTTGAAGTAGTGTGGAATGTCAATATCTTGATTATGTTATTATTTTCGTTTCGAGTCACATACGATATTCATTTTAGTTCTTACTGTTGTTTAAAGTCCTCAAGTCATATGGTTTCTGTTATCAGGCGCAGTTCTTTGTTTGTGATTCTGTAGCGCCAGTCCACGAGGTTTGAAGAAGGATTGTCCCCACTACATATTACATTCGCCCGAAGTTATTTTTTAAACACCGATACAAGAAAGTGGTTGTACAGCGTGCTATAGGTAAATTGTCGCCATTTTATATTTCTTTTAATTTCGCGCATGTGTATTGTTTGCTTTTGATTTTGTCGACTACACAGTATAGTGGGCACCGTATATGAGAAAAAGAGCAAAACCCAGCCATGGCTGTCAGGCAGTTTCCGCAACTACATCACCTCTTGCATATGGCCACCTAACACCCCAGACTGCACCCCATTCATTATTATGTGCGGGACGCAGTTGAGCGAGAGACAAAACGCCTTGTAACCCAAAGATTATGGCAGTATTCACCAACTTAAACAAGGAGACCGTCCTTAAGAGATACAGAAGATACTGAAGTCGTCTGGGAGCTGTGGTTGAAGTCAATGGATATTTTATTGAATAAAGTTACTCTTTAGTATTTCAACATATTTTTGTGTCATTTTGGTAAATATTTCTGTTAAAATGAGATGTCAGTGTTATTTTTATTTGTCTGTAATTTAGATGATAATTTATCCATCGCACCCTGTATGGTAATAATGAGTGAACTGTGTGATATGAGTGACAGAGTGGGTGGTAGGTATTGGGTATTATGAGGACAGATAATGATTAATCCTATACATGAAGAGTTTACGATTAAATTGTTCAAGGGAAGTACCCTGGCAGGATTATCTTCCACAAAATGGTACTTCTTGAGGAAAACTCATTTCTTACATTTGTAACAGCGAGGAAATGATAGTGATGCGAAGTCGTGAAAGTAGCATTGCATACCTTATTTGTAAAGGTCTGAACTGGCGGTACAAGGCAATAGAGCTCTTTGGACATTGGCCTTGGAAGTCGCAACAGAATTGTGTTAGGCTTGCAACGTTGAGTCTGGGGGAAATAGTTTGCTGAATGGAGAATATGTCCCCATCGGGAAACCGCGTGAACGATTTTGAATTGAAGGCTGGAAATTAAGGATTAAACAGCACCAGCCCAAATAAGTTAACAATACACAATTTAGGACCTGATTTGATCTCAGTCGGCAGTTATTACCGAATTCTATCGGCGAAAAACTTCAACTTTTCGAATGCGGAACATTTTTTTAAGAATTTCACCCCAAGCAAGGCGAAAGTGCCACTACTACGCAAGGGGTTACAGAGAGTGGGAGTAAGAATAAAGAGGCGTGATAGAAGAAAGGATGAAGAGACGGACGGGGAATAGATCAAGGCATCTGAACATGTCGATTGAGATTGCATTTGAACAATTGAAGATTATAGCAATCAGGGAAGCATGTAAGAGAAAGGGAGTTCCACAGACGGGAAGTGCGAGACACGAAGCTATTGGAGTAGAAGAGACGGCTATATTTAACCGCTTCGACAGTGAAAGGGTGGGACTGAGATGCCAACTTAGTAGCACGCTTAAATTCATGAAGATTGGTATAAAGTTCTAGTTTCTGCAGAAGAAAACTTCAAACGAAATCCGTGAGTCTATGGCGGAAGCGTTTTGTAAAAAAAAGTGCCTGCCATTGAAAACTGTGAAGAAATCCTTGGCGCTGAGATATTGAGACGCAAGAAGCCGCACTGTCTCGCCTTGGACGTTCGGTGTATTCGGTCTCAAATCTTTGGTCTCAGCAATGTTAACTCCGGAATTTATAATCCATTTATACTGTAGGAGAATCAAATAACTGTATCCATGGTAACACTGGTATGTCTACAACAAGACTGACTGATTTTGAATTCAGTTTTCCTTCAAGAATACTTGCGGCTTAAGGCCATATGCTGAAAAGTCGGTTCTCGTGCGATCACCGAAGTTAAGCAACGTCGAGCCTGGTCAGTATCTAGATGGTTGACCGCATGAGAATACCAGATGGTGTAAGCTTAAATGTGCGGGTGTTGTAATGTGTAATAGCAATTCCTATCAGATTTGTTATATTTGCTTACGCGCAAATAGCCTTGGGGATGGTATGAATCCACCTATTCTCATCCCCAGCTACGGGTTAATTAGTAGAACTTGTAACCGTAAAAAATATTATCTCCAAAAATTTCTTACAATCAAAAAATTTTCTGGCTTTAAATAACGTGCAAAAAGTTGATAAACCGTAAAATACAAAATAAAATAAAATGAACTAGTTACCTCTTCAAGGCAAGAGAGACAAGTCAGCATTGCTATTTAAATCATAGTTGGGAGAAAGAAGAGGTGAAGGTATACTTATCCCAAGAGTATTTCTTCGAAAATAAATGTAACGAACTCTGCTGGAATTCGAACACGGATCTCCCATTTCTCTTTCTGAGTTCTTACACTGCCCTCGCATCCGCACTACATATTAACTTCTAGGATGATACTTCGAATCGTTCATTTATACTCTAACCATTCAGATGTACCAGGAAAATGAATTATGAAAAACAACATCAAAACGAAATTTACATATATTGTTCACTGTTGATACATAATTCATTTTCCTTTTCGATTTAAAATCATTTGAACCTTCTTAATAGATCTCATCAAAGTATAATATTTAAATATGTATTTAAATTAGATATAATATTGGCGTGTTGACAACTATAACTGATATATATTCTCACTTCTGACCTTTCAAATACGGTCTGTTAAATCAAACAAATATCACTTGAAGGAAGTTACTATTATCGATCAAAATATAAACTGATGCAAAAAGCAATGTGGCCATCATTAGGATTTACACTTGAATCGTTGTAGGCGATTACTATAAACATGTCCAACTTTTAATGACTTCAAATAAAAGCTGTTAAATATTTATTGAAAGTCAAGTCTTGAAATTAGACACAAGAGTTTGGAGTCTATTTCTCTAGTCAACCAGAAGATTCGATTTCATTGTAAGTACTTTCTTAAAATATCTGGGCTGGAGCAGCCCAACTCTCAATTTCCAGCCTTGATGATAGATTTCAAAAGCGTTCACACAACATCATAGGTGATGAATAATTTTCTGTCCTTTAATATATACTATTCACACACACACACACACACACACACACACACACACACACACACACATATATATATATATATATATATATAATTCGTCCTTGCTTCATTTCTGCTTCATATGGTATGGTGCTTTTGCTATATATTTAGATATTCTTGATACAATCCAAAGAAGAATCTGTAATGTAATTGGTCCTGACCTGGCATCTTGAGTCAAGTTCCCACCGCCGTAACGTAGCTTCTCTGTGCCTTTTCTATAAACACTTCCAAGTTCGATGAACTTTTCTCTATGTTACCCAGAATTTATAAGATTAAGTGCAGTACTAGATTGGCGGCAAGGTCTCATCATTTTACAGTTGAAATGGCTAAATGTAACTGTAGGTTCTATGCTAACAATTACTTCTCTCGCACTTTTCGCTTGTGGAACTCTCTTTTGGCCTCTTGTTTACCAGTCATCTTTAATCTTCAAAAATTGAAATGCAGTGTCAATTTTTATCTTCTGTCTTCTTAATTACTGTTTTTTTTTTTTTTGCCTCTTAATATTGTTCAATTTTCCATATTCTCTCACACTGATTAACTACTTGCTTCTTAGTGGCGTTATTGCCTTGGTTGGGATGAAATGATTAATATATATATATATATATATATATATATATATATATATATATATATAGTGTAACCCGGATATAAGAGTTGTCAGGACCGTAGATGAAGTCTCTTATATCCGGGTTTCTTATATCCGGTTTTGGTCTATTTTATATACATTAACACAGGCTCTAATTTGGGACCAGAGAAAATCTCTCTATATCCGGGTTTTCTTGTATCCGGGTCTCTTATATCCGGGTTACACTATATATATATATATATATATATATATATATATATATATAAAAGAATAATGCTTCTTTTACAAAAAACAGTAGTGAAATAAAGTCCCTAAAAAAACAAACAAATATTGCAAATAATTTCTGAAATGTGAGAAGTAGTTTTCGGGTTCACCCTTTTTGTTCTTAGTAGAGACCGTAATTATTTCACTATCAGGATATAAAGGAGTTTACTGGCACTATTTTGCCAATATTACAGATAACTTGAGTTCACTTCCTCCCTTGTTACAGCAACAAGTGGACGCTTTCACTCTCTCTCTCTCTCTCTCTCTCTCTCTCTCTCTCTCTCTCTCTCTTGTCAACTCACTTAGACTTCGACTGACTTCGATTTGTTTGTTTTCGCACAAACAAATAAACGCGGTAGTGGCGACAAAAACCCTGGGTGTTGGTAAACTTAGTATACAACCTGATTACTGACCTCTCCCCCTTCATGATTAAATAAACAGTCTCTTCTTCCCAATTGGCATTCCATAGTTCATATAAACACTATTGTTCTGACATTTTATATTAATAATTCTGATGAAGCACAGATTCTCTGGGCACAAATTTCACTACAGATTATTTTTCTTATCTATAAACAAAATGCATAGTTATTTTTCTATGATTTAACATTCAATGACATATCTGAGCTTGACATTTTTCAAAATATCTTCTTCAATTCTAGACATAGCCGGGGCTCCATGAGTACAAACAATTATGCAGGAATCCAAAAAGAAGTGGTGATACTTTAGCTTTTTATCGACGTGTCATGAATCGACTTTGTTAACGTACAGTAACCGTTAATAAATAAATATAACTCAAGTCTACAGTGTTAAGATAAAACAGTATATAATTACAACGACAGGTCAATGCGAACACGAACAAAGAAGTAAATTTCACCCAAATATAATTAACAATTTCAGTGAATACCTTGTCAGTAGCGCGGCTCGGCTTAGAGTCCGGTCAATCCTAAATCAAAACCTAAATCATCAATGTACAGTAATTCACACTAATTTGACTGGATAGTTCCATTCAATAATCACTCAATAATCGCTTAGTAATCAACCCAGCCTGACATCGCTATTTATATACCTTGCGGAAAATATATATTCAATAGTTCAAAGTGTCACGCTCGAAACTCAGAGTCTGTAGTTGCGATCTACGTGTCATGAATCACTCCTAGACTACTTCTGTTGGCAGATGACGAGAAAAGAAGGTACTGACTTCCACTTAGAAATTTTAATCGATGTACGTGCGGTTTATCGCTAGAATATTGTTAATAGAATTTTTTTAATATGTTAATTACATGTTCTCTATGTTATATATACGTTATTATGTTTGGCTATACTGCATAGAATTTTTTAATATGTTAATTACATGTTCTCTATGTTATATATACGTTATTATGTTTTGCTATACTGCATAGAACGGTGGTTCTCTGTGTCGTACCAGAAAGTTTTTCTCGTCAGAGTCCATCTTACACATCTACAAATCTACCATTTGTCTGTGAATTGAATACTGTTGCCATAAATGGTTTGATGGCCATGCAGTTCTTGGTTCTTGAAAAAAATCCCAAAAAGGATCTGCAATATAATCGATCCTGACTTGGCATCTCGACTTCACTCACTTTCTCAAAGACTTGATGTGTCTTCACTCTGTCTTTTCTACAAACATTTTCATGGCTGCTTATCTGACGAGCTTTTTTTTTTCCCTGGTGCGTTGACTACATGAATTTAAGCGTACTATTAAACTGGCATCTAGGTCTCACCCTTTTACTATTGAAATAGTTAAATGTAGCCGTCATTTCTACTCCAACAGTTTTAAATTAAAATTTGTACGGTGTAGATATTTTAGCCGATGTACATACTGTTTATCGCTAGAATATAAATAAAAGAAAAATTTTAAATATTTTTGTTGTGGATTCCGGGATGAAATCCGGTCTCAAATGAATGACAAACGCAGGAATGAAATATAGTAAATAAATGTATTGACGTAAAAATACAATTGGTAATACGGTTAGTAGATCCAGAAATGCGGTTAGTAGCAATAATAATATATATACAGTCTGGGAAATTCAGTATCGAAGTATGACTTCCTTCTGAGTCTACGTGCTCGCAACTGTGACTCCTACAAAGCGGTTACATCACACTCTTACTCTCTGTATCTGTGTATCTCTCCCGACTTCCGGCTATTCATCGTCAGCAGTACAAGTACACACTGGTCGAGTCCATTTGTATGAAAAAGGGGTGAACCCCATAAAACACCCTCCTTAGATCCATTTTGGGGGGGGAGTTAGTATTTTTTTCTCTTATGGTTGATAATCAGAGGTTCGGTAAATTTTCTCTTCCTGTTTGACCTTCTCATTTCTGTGTCTTCCTGTAGTCTTTGAATCTCAAACGTTACGAAGATTACATCCATAGAATCGTCGTTTTCTGTGGGTGACGAGCTTGGCTCCTCAACCCGTCTTTCTGTGTACATTAGATTTCCTAATCTGTTAGTTACTGTGCCAGGCTCCCAGTAAGCCATATTGTTTCTAAACATCCTAAAGTAAACCCGTTCTCCTGGTTTAAATGATCTCTTCAGTACAATAGGTGTATACTGGTTTTTGTTCTTGTTTGGCAATAATTTGTCAAACACAGACCTTATTCTCCGAGCAAACATCAATTCCGCTGGTGAGAGACCCGATGGCGTGTTCACGTTAGGTGTTATTCTGTACACTTGGAGGAACTGTTGTAACGCTTTTATCGTCGGTACATCCTCAGCTTTTTTTAACGCTCTTTTAAGTGTGTCAACGAATCTTTCAGCTTGTCTGTTCCATCTCGGGTGGTACGGAACTATCTTTACTCGATATGTCTCACAAAATTCTTTGAAGTCACTGGAGGTAAATTGTGTGCCGTTATCGCTTACCAAACAATCCGCGACTCCAAATTTCGCGAATAGTTCGTGTAAACAGTTTATGGTATTTTTCTGTCGTCAGGTGTTTAAATCTGGCAACCTCTGGCCATTTACTGAAACTATCTACTGTTTTTAAATAGTAGTAACCTTCAATGGG